TAAAATTTCATTCCCGTTATTTTTTATTAGTCCAAAAAGGTCGATTTAAACACTAGTTTTTGAGTATTTTCTCTTTTCCGGTGTTTTTCTTCGCTTTGCTCACGTGTCGGGCTGATCCGGGATCATCGCATTTTACGTTCTCCGATTGGCCATTTCCTTTTTAGAGGTTTGTATTGCCGGCACAAATAAGTGGATGCTCCGCAACCTAGTTTCAGGCATGGGTTACACAAATTAATATTCCGGGTTGTACACTCCGAGTTAGTGCAGTGCTTCTCCTCCAGGTTAGTTTTAACGACGATCACAAAAAATTTATACCCGTAAAAAACAAACTTTAATAACTAAAATATCGAATATTATGATTAAAGTATTGACTAGAGTCAATTGAATGTTATGAGCAATTAAGTTATATTTCTTTATATTGAGCAAACCAGGTTACAAGAATAATTTTGCTCCGGAGCACTCCATACATGGAACAACCCGGGCTCCGGAGCATGTAACTTCATTTACAACCCTATCTACCTGTTCAAAATTGTTCGAGTAGACAATTTGTTGTGATTAAATATTTGCTGGGGAAAATATATTGCCTAGTATATAGTAACATACCTAGTCTACATAATTTATACCTAATATACATAATGTTATCTAGTCTGCATAATGTATACCAAAGTTTACTATACTCATCTAACAGCCTATATTATATTTATATTATTATATAGTATGATCGTTTGTACAGTTGGTCAAAGAATGTTACGAAGCGGCATTTTCCGAATAATCAAAAAAATTATCGCTGTACCAGTAATCAGTGTTCGAAATTTCGGATCCAAATACTGTTCTCATGAGAACAGTGCAATCATTATGGTGTTCTCGAGCTATTGGTTTATGGTCACAAAAAAAAAAAGGAAAAACAACCAAAAATTTCAGTTTTTCATTACAAATCTTGAAAATTTTATTAAAATTATATATAACTGAAGACATTAATACAATATTGGTTAGATATTTCTTAATTTATCTTAGATCAGTTCGTGGCTTAGCTAGCATGACAATGTTCTTCAGTTACTCATTATATACTTATGGAACACTATTATTTTATTGTTCTCTAAAAATTTTTATTCGTTAACAGTAAAAAAATTTTTACTGTGCACAAATTTATAACAGAGAACTCTGAGAACACTAATTTCGAACACTGCTCAGAATTATCATGTTATATTAGTATTATAATAAGGCGGTCATTGATTATAAATTATACTATTAAAGTTTTTTTTTTAACTCCTTCAATTCGTATAATGTAACATAGTATGAGTATGGGTCACGTATGCATCGTGTAATATTACAAACATGGACGACGAAATAAAAGAAAGTGATTTATAGCATAAATGGTATAATATTCATGATCAATAGTGACCTATAAAGATTCTTAAAATTTAGATTTCATATTTAGAATCTCAGAAATTCTCCGCCATCATCATCCCAAAAATTATGAGGCCACATCTCTTTGCAAAGCGCTAAAACAATAGTTGAATTTACAAAAGGATAAAAGTCTACGGCTATTAAAATCGTAAAAAAGTATATTCTTATCGATACCGGAGTTATAGGCAGCCGCAGTCACGCCAACACATTTTTTGTTTGCCATGTTTGATAAATTCATGTGTAGTCTGTAATTGATGTAGAAAAAGACGAGGTAACAAAATTAATAAAATACTATCAACGTTAAAGATAATAGTTAACTGCAAACTTTTTATTAGCTCGTATTATACAAATCATCAAATTTATTTTGCTCTTTTTAAAAAGTTAAAATTTAATTTCTTAAAGTTGCTCGGTTAAATGATTTATATACTCAAATACGTCTAACCTAATTTAAAAACTTATAATACGCACGTAAGCCATATAAAGGTCGTAAAGGTGCAGCCCGACAATTAAAATTTGAGATCACAGACAAATAAGGAAACAATAACTGATAAATAAATGTAAAAATCGGGATACACGGAAAATCGATAGCGGTCTTCCTGCTCATTCTGAAAAAAGTTTAAATATTTTGATTTTTTTTATTGTAAATAAATTCTAAAGCATTTTTTTTTTCAAATTATTTTTTGATTATTAGACTTTATTAATGAAAGGTAAAACATTTAAACCGGGTGAACCGTATACTCATCGTCTGAATAAAATCCTTGATGAATATCCGGATGGATCTCAAATCCTCCGCGAAATTCTTCAAAACTCTGATGACTCTAAAAGCCGCACGCAAACATTTTTACTGGTATATTCGATTTTCATTATTTGTTCTTTTTATATAATTTATATATTAACTCAATTTCTTCAAATAGGATCATAATACTTATCCAACTAAAAAATTAATTGAGCCTGTACTGAATGGATATGATAAAAGTGACTTGAAATTAGATCGATATCAAGGTCCTGCTCTTTTATCAAGAAACGAAGCCACATTTGAAGAACGTGATTTTCAATCATTATTAAGATTGGCAAATAGTGAAAAGCGTGATCAATTTGATAAGATTGGGGGTAAGTAATTTTAGTGTCGTGGCAATAACAGCACAATAATAATAAAATATTAATATAATCATTCATAATAAATAGCGATGGGTGTAGGTTTTAACTCTATTTACCATATAACCGATTCCCCTGCCTTTATTACTGGTGATCAATATGTTATTCTTGACGTGTGTATTAATTTTTTATTCAATATTTATTTATACCTCGATTATTATGATGCAATAATGATATTTTTAAAATTTATTTTAGCCACATGATTGGTACTTCGATGGTGGTATTAGATATAATTTTATTGATGATAATATTCCCGCTGATTACCCGGATCAATTTGCACCTTTCACTAATACATTTGGCATTCCACGTAATAAAAAATTAAATGGAACTATTTTTCGTTATCCCCTTCGTACTGTTCAGGATGCTAAAGATTCAGAGATTTCAAAAAATGAATATAATCCAACTAAACTATTAAATATGTTTGACAAGTTTTATGAAAATGAAAGCATTAATTGCCTTCTTTTCTTAAAATCCGTTGAATCCATCAAATTCTTTGAGTTGAAAGAAAATGAGTCTACTCCAAATTTACTCTACTCAATAGAGATCGTAAATGCAAAACAAATACGCAAAAAGCGCGGCTTGGTTGATAGAAGTATTAGTTCTTTGATGAAGGAACTTGGCGAACAAAAACTTTCCGATAATTCTGCTTTGGAATCGGTATTTGTGGTGACTTTTCGTCAACAAAAAGGCGATGAAGAGCCACGAGAAAGTCAATGGATTATTTTTGGTTGGCTTGGTGATTTAAAAGCTACTGCTACTTATTTCAATGAAACTTTTAAGAAGAAAATAATTGATTATAAGCTTATTCCCAATGTTGGAATTGCTGTTCCACTTAATGATCCTGAAGCTATTGGAAGATTATTTTGCTTTCTCCCTCTTCCTATATTAATGCCTTTTCGTGTTTCCGTGCATGGTCATTTTGCTGTAAGTTTGTTTTTTAATATTTTAATCTACTGCTTTGGAATATATTTTTAATTTTTTCCGTATTTGTATTTCAAAAAAAAGGTCAGCACAAATCGACGTTCATTATGGTCTGCTGCCGATGGCGAAGATTTGGTATTTTTTATTTTTTTTATATCATTTCAATTCATAAACCATGAATTTATGAATTCATGTTATAAAATCTTGGTATTTCAAGTTTTAATTTTTCTTTTCTTTTTTTATCCTATAATATTTAGGCTGAGGGTACATTAGCCAAGCTCAAGGTTTTGTGGAATCAATATCTTTTCAATGTTATACTTCCACAAGCTTGGGCAAAATTTTTAGTCCACCTTCCTATCGAAGCACCTGAAATTAATGCCAATGAATTCTACAGTTTCTGGCCAATTATTAAAGGATCTGGTCCTGGCGATCTTGTTAATAATCAATCTAAAAATCTTTTATTTTATACTATTGAAAATCTCAAGGTTGCTGATAAAGTTTTTTGTGGTCCTCCAAAATCTTGCTCGCTTGGAAATGTATCTGATATATTATCATCATGTCAAAAGATTTTCACGCCCTGTGGAACTACGTTTCATTTATTGTCGATAGAAAGTGGTTTCCTTCCTGATGAATCTGCTCATTCTGATATCTTAAGAATTATCGAAAGTATAGGATTCCCTTTAATTAACATTGATCCTAAAATATATGAAGAGTTGAAATGGTCTTGTCATAAAGATTCTTTAAATGTTTGCTCTCCACATTTTGTAAGAATGTATCTTCATCAAAACAAATCAAAATGGGAAAGCTTAAAACGAGATGATATTATATCGTTATTTGAATATGTACTCAAAGACAATAATTATACCGAATTAAATGGTCTTACAATGATTCCATTATCCGATGGAACTTTTGGAACAATTTCACAACAGAAAAAACATTATTTTGGAATTAAATCAAAATCGAGAAGTTTGACCTTTTATATTGGACCTGATTGTAATAATTCCATTGGTGATAATGATGAACGAAATATCTTTGCAAATAATTTAAATAAATTTATTGACAAAAACATTCCTAATGAGCTATGGAATCTACTATACGAAGGTGCCCAAGAAGAATGGGACCTCAATATTAAAATCCTAGTCCCATCCGTGGTAGCCAACATGATTACGGAAGAATTAAATGGATATTCAGCTGGATGTGATGAGATTTCGTTGGGTGATTCTTTTGAATGGGTTTTTAAAATTTGGGATAATTTTAAAGAAAGAGATTATGATCTGATGGAATTTGAGGACATTCATATATTGCCAACTAATAATGAAACTTTGAGAAAATTAAAAACCAATCAGAAATGTTTTTGGAATAGTGTAAATAATAAACTTGACAATGACGTGCAACCTCTTATTGAAAAACTTGGTATCGTTTTTGTTGATAAACAATTTGAAAAACGTGTTACTTATAGCCGATCAAAGTAAATACTAATAATTATTGTCGTGTATCTACTTTGAAAATATTTTATATCAATTTTTATTAATTTTATTAATTCTTTATTAGGTTATCAAAATACGTAATTGGTCTTGAAAATTTAACAGAAGTTTTGACTTGCTTAAATGTGGTTGATACATTTCCGAAAAATGTTCAGATAAAATTACAACCTCAGGATGCAGAAATATTGATTAATTACTTGCGTTGTTTATCTCCTGACAATTCCATTAACAATATTGTCAAATATCTTCCAATTTTTTCCGAAGTCGGTAAAGAAGATCTTATCCCACTTAGTCCTAGCAGGAGAATTTGGTATTTGCTTCCATCTGAAGACGAGAAAAATTTTGGAAAAATAATTGCACCGGATACAGTGGGATTTCTTGATACATCAACACCCAACAAAAGATTTCTTTTAGAAAGTATCATAAAAGTTAAACGATTATCACAACAAGAATATTGGACTAAATTTGTGATCCCACATTTGGGAAGTCAAACGCCAGCAACAATTGAAATTGTGATTATGAAACTTTTTGAACGTTTACAACTTCTCCTTTCAGAAAATTCAAACCTAAGAATTGATTTAGGAAATATAGCGTTTATTCCAGCAAGTACATTTCAACAAAAAGAAAAACAAGGAACTCATGTTGAATTAAAAAAACCTACAGAATTATTTGATCCAGATAATTATTATTTTTCAGAATTATTCTTTGATGATGAACGTCTATTTCCTGCCAGAAATTTTTCTGAAAAGTTTCGTGACAACTTTTTGACATCATTAAAATTGTTGGGAATGAAATCAAATCTTTCTTCATCTGATATTATTCAACGACTAGATGTGCTTGCCAAACGAAGAAAGGATGAATTTGATATAGTGCATAAAAAATCTCTGAAACTAGTTCAATATATTGATCAAAACTATTATACACTTTCACTGACTAGTCGACAACCATATAACATGCCACAATTATTTGCTACAACTAATATTGATCTTTTGTCAATATTACAAACCAGAGAATGGATTCCAACAGTTGATTTTACGGGTAAAAAACAATTTTCTAAAGCCAATGAATGTCGAAGTACAAAGCATAAGAATTTGGTTGGATTAGTAATGCCAATTATAGAATATTATTTTGATAACAAAACTTTTATGAAAGATATGCAATGGGATTCTAATCCACCTGCTGATATAGTTATTGCTCAACTTAAAGCATGTTCGTCAATGGAACCAATACGTAGAAATACATTAAAAATATGTGAAGAAATATATAAATATATGAATGAAGAGATGAATAATAATAATTCAAATTTGGAAATTTTTAAAGAAAAACTTAAAGATGAAAAATGGATTTTTTGCAATGGAAAATTTTATTCATCATATAGAGTCGTAATTGAACTTGAGAAAAACTTGGGTAAATCAGTAATCATCGAACTTCCCTATGCATTTAAAAATTATAAAGAATTATTTAAAGAAATGGGAGTTAGACAGAAAATAGGTATTCTAGATTTAATAAACGTTATAAAAGAATTTCACTCGAATGAAGTTAATACTGTAAAGACATTATCGAACGAAGAATTGCAGAAAGTAGTATCAATTATTGAATTAATAGCAAATAGAGTTAATGAGAAAAATGATTCTAGTGAAAGTTTAAAAGATTTATTGGTGCCAAGTACAGATTGTCATTTGGTGAATTTATATGAAATTTATTATGATGATATGAAGACAAGATTAAATGAGGATGAGAAAAATGAATTAAAAATAGTTCATTCTTTAATTTCTTATTCTGTTGCAAAAATTCTTGGAATGAAAATGCTTGCTGGAAAATTTATTGATTGTAAGTATAACGATATTATGCTGGCTATATTGACATGTTTGATTTTCTTTGATAATGAATGTCTAATTTAATTATTCGATTACGTTTTTATTTAGCTGAGACAAATAATAATTATGGAGAAGTTTACGAGCAAAATGAGCAATTAGCTGTTAGAATAAATAACATTATTAGGGTAAATACAATGTTTGTGAATT